TTCTAAATTTGGGCTTCCAGTTGCCCATACTGGGGTGGAAACGCACGTTATTCAAAATTGGATGGCTCTAGGTACCGTTCTTTTATCATAATGCGAGAAACATACATACATTTATGCAGATTCTTCATTATTTAATTAATTTAAATATAACACAGGGTGATAATATTTGGTGGCAACAATTTGAAAAGTGATTCGCCGTTTAGTTTTCAACACAAAATGTCAAAACGAAATAAATAGTCCTTCAGGGTGTTACGTCGCAAATTTTAATTATTAATATGTGTTTTACGTTATTGTTATTCTAGTATTTTTATTTGTATTCATGTATATTTTAATCCCATAAAAAGAGTTTCTTAAGTTGTTAAGGCTTTATTTAACTCGTTATTCTTGAGTAGAAAGTGTAACAAAGGCGAGAAACAGTTGCGAGGAAACATCTGGTTTCTTGGTTTATTGCCCTTTTTACTAACAATGGAGGCAGTAGGGTGTTGTGCTGTCGCCTTTTACTAATGGCGTTTGAAACGAAAATCGTCTTCCTTTCACTTTGTTGTATTTGCATTGTTTCTTTCAGTAAGCTTAGGTAATTACTTTCTTAACATCAGTTTCCGCTTGTTAGTTGGTGGGTCCACTTTACGTTCCCACGTTTTTTGAGTACAGATGTTGGCTTCATTGTCAGATTTTCTGGTTTTTAATTCGCCGTGGGGGTTGAATTTTCTCAGTTTAGATAAAGTAAAATTCTGGCATTGGTATGATTTTTTGTAAGCCAATGAAATTTTTTGGGGGAAGGGGGCGGAGAGGAGAGTTTACCTCAGTGCTTACACCTTGTTAGAATTCATTCTGATTTTCAAGCTAAGAGGAAGAGAAGAAAAGAGTGGAGGGACTTGACCCTTTGCGGGTCTTGCTCTCACGAGTGCCGGCTATTGAGTCGGATTTAGAGACAGATTGGAGTTGCGAAGATGTAAAGCAGAAAAGAGAAAGTTCGGTGGGGCTTGACCTCTTGCAGGGGGCTAGCGCCTGCGATCTAAGGTAAGGTTTCTCGCGGCTTTCCGCTGATGAGAATTTGTTAGAATGGAGAAAGTGCTCTATGCAAAATTTAATTTCACCGTTTCATCGTGTATTTTGAGATCTTTGAATAGTCATGTTAGAGGATTTCCAGTTAGAACTGTTTATCATAGACAGAAGAGATTTGTTACAGCTAGAGTTTGTGCTGAAAGTGCTCTACGCAAAATTTAATTTCGCCGTTTCATCATGTATTTTGGAGAACTTCTTGAATAGTCATGTTTGAGACATTCTGGTTGAAGGAATTTGACATGAGATACAGATTTGTTCCAGAAGAGGGTATCATGCACCCCTTGTTCCTGAAACCAATGGACGTTTCTGAAAGTGTTTTGAAAGGAAAAAAATAATGGCCTTCACTCATTTCCCAGTGGATTGGATTGGACACTAAAGATCTTTCTGTTTGGAAACTGTCTCTCACTTAATGGATATATTTAAGGCGGTTCCTGGCTGATTGAAGAATTTTTATTTAATATCCTACACCTGCAATTCCTGAAATCAATGGATGCTTCTGAAAGTGTTTTGACCAAAACAAAAAATAATAATAATAATAAAAAAGTTGTCCCTGCTTATTTCCCAGTGGATTGGACACTAAAGATCCTTCAATCCGGAAAAAATGTCTTCCCATCTGTGAGTGATTTTTAAGATTATTTTCTCTCTTTTCTCTGTCTTCCCAAATGCCATGGTGGACTGACTACTTAATAACCATTTATCCACATATATAAATTTTTATTAATTATGTAAATTAAATATTGCTAGCTGGTAATATTAAGAAGTGATTAGAAATTTTAAGGGAATTACCAGTTAATTCGGAGAATTCAAATATGTTACACCTTCTTAACTTGTCAAAAAAATGTTAATTATTAATTAAATGTTTTAATTATTGTAACCTGAAATTTTGTGTGACAGATGCGATATTTTCATAGTAAAAATATGTGGTAGGGGATACTGATCAGTACCCAAGTATTTAGTAATAATATTACTATATTCAAGAATTTAATAAATGTGTTTGATTTAGAATTTTAATTGCACTTGTTTATTTGTGTAACTTACTTTGGTCTGTCATGTCACTCCATTTGTTTAAGCCGGTAGGCTTTCAAGAAACATGGAGCTTTACTTGAATTTGGATTATTGATTTTCCTTTTGCATAGGTTACTCACAATGCAAACCTAAAATTTAATTTGTACTACCACTATATGATTGTTTATATGAATGTTCATATGATTTTATTGTCTGGCACCATGAGTCAGTTTAAGGTCAAAGTTATAAAAGATTAAAACACCAAAATTTCAGCGATTCAACAAGGGCAAATTGTCCCTTTGGGCTAAAAATTTTCTTTCAGCTTAAAATTATCTTGTCTTACAAAATTATTTAATAATATTAGAAAAAAAGTAGATGAAAGTTCTTAAATTAAAAAATAATCATTCAAAAGGTACTGAGTCCCCTTGTCTCGTTGAAGATGATATGTGCATCTTTAGTTTTAATTTGAACGGTATTTCTGGAATAACCAGCATCAGATAACCTTGTATCTACTAATTTAAAAATTTCCGTATTTTGTACGGTTCCATCTAATTTTTTTGGATGATATCACATCCCCAGATATCTATCAACACGATTATTTCGCTGACAGTCCAGCAAGCAGTCAATTGCACATCAGCCATGTTGTTTGTTAAAATTAGAGAACGGCGCAATTGCGCAGTGCAGTATGGGAAATCTCCCCATTTGCCCTGCTCCAGGAGAGGTAGGAACGTTCAACCAAGTTCTAACTTCAATTCGGCGAGGCAGTTAATGCTTGTTTGGCATGTGAATGGGATACGTTGGAAGAACCGATTTTCGCTACCTTTCAAATCTGCTCTTGTGAATGGGGCTAAAGGGGCAAAAAGCTGTTTCTGGGAGTATAATTCACCATTTGACGTTCCATATATGGAAGAAAAGTTGTTTATTTAGTTTTGGCTTTGTTACGGGGGAAAAAATGCGCGTTCGTTAAAAAAAAGAAAAGCACTAAAAGCAAAAAAAAAAAAATAAATAAGTGCTTCAGAGAAAAAGTAAGCACCTATACGGGCTTTTATATTTTATTTTCAAATATAAGGACTTATAAGCACTTGTAAGGACTGCTACTAACTCTGCCTCTACCACCATCTGGCGGGAAACAGTTTTGCATGACTATCATAGACTGATTCACAAGATGGCTGGAAGTTATTCCAACAACAAACATGACTGTGGAAACAGCCATGCATGCCTTACTACACGGCTTGATATCCAGATTTGGATGCCCAGTTACAATTACATCTGACAAGGGTAAAAATTTTGAATCTAATCTTTTTAGAGAACTTACTCACACTTGGGTGGAGCAAGATTCGAACCTATGCATATCACCGACAGTCAAATGGAATTATTGAACGCTTCCATTGGCATCTCAAAATAGCCCTTAAAGCACATAATATAGCACAATGGACTGAAATTCTTCCACTTATCCTCTTAAGTAAACGTTCAGGCATTAAGGATGATGTCAAAGCAACTTCTGCTCAACTTGTTTAGGGCACAAAATTAAGATTACTGTTTGATCATTTTTTAACATAAGATGTTTTAATACATTTTACTTTCTATGTGAATATGTCTTTTAATTTTATAGTGATACATAATTTTATTTTCAATTGATGGAGTTCCACTGTTTAGGTTTTGTTTCTGTCATGGTGAAAATTCCCATTAAATATCCATTTGCAATCCCTTCATTTTCAAAAATCTCTATCACTTTCTTTACTATTGGTGGCAATATTTTCTGGATTTAAAACCATACTACAGATTTTGCCATCAGTTGTGACATTTAGCAATTCTTCACATATTTCATTAATCAGAATTCCCTCCTCCCAACAGCCATAGAACACAGCTCTTCTTTTCTCTTTGTTCAGTGTATTTCCTTGGAACCAAGCATTACCAGCTTTGTTTGGCTTCTTTACTCATGATTATTTACTGATATACTACTATTTACTGTTTATCCTGTAACATTTTTTTCTTTCTTTTTAATTGAAACAAATTTTACAATTTTGGATCTATCAAGAGATAAAGCAGCAGCCATCATATTCTTCATGAAAGAGACAAAAGACTACCTGTCTATAAAAGACTATTCTCTATAGAGAAAGACTATATGAATAACAACCTTATGAAAATTAAATCTGACTCGGAAGTAAAAATGCAATATTTTTTGCCATTTCATTAATTGATTGATTACATTGTCATTGCAATCACAGAAATAAGTTATATCATCTTCAGTTAGCATTTCTTTGCATATTCCAGTTATCAGAAAATTTTGCTTTTTATGTGATACTATTTTAAAACCTTCAAATCTCCAGCTACCATCATAACTATACATCGCATTTCCTAAATTGCAAAAACATTTGAGAAACGTGAACATGCTTCATGCTAAAAAGTGATTATTTAATATTTAATACAGAAATGAGCAAGGTAAATTTACTACATACATATCCACATGCTTTTAACATTTACATTGCATCAAGCAACAAGATGTACTAATTCAAATGTAAAATTGAATTCTGTGCCCTCAAGCATTACAGAAAAAAATACTAGAGATAATAGAATTAATTACAAAATGTACAACTTTTAAATTACATTTACTATAAAAAATATTTTTGCACAGAAAAATTAATATTGCAGTAAAGTTTCTCTTAGATATTTTTTACAATTTTAAATACAGTGCATGTATCCAAGTTATTCTACTATAATATTTAATAAAAAAATTTTAACTCAACTTATTACAATCTAATTATTAATAAATCTTAAAAAGAATGCAAATAATTTTGTTTATTTACTCAGTAAATTAACAGTTATGGTGGCCTCAATACAATGAATTAAAGCCTGAAGTTAAAAGAGAATATCAGTAAAAATAATACAGAAATGCAATAACCAATAGACAGCAATGCTCAAATACATACCACCAGAATTCCAAGAAATGATATTTGTATCACGCTGGATGTGGACATAGTTTTCTGTTTTGAGCAAGATTTCAGCAACAGCAATAACTGTTTCTTCCAAAAATTTTTTATCCAAGTTGGTGCAATTTCTTACATTTTCAATTTTTTCCCTCGGTATAAAATCACGAACCCAATGGTTACTTTTGGACATTGCAACTTTGTTCTCTGCTTGTATATGGCTATTTCCTGCTTGAAGACACACTGAAGAGCAGGTGTACCTTTTTGAATGATACTGGATAAATTCAGAACGTAATGCATCTATTTCTGCTTCATCACATTTCTCGTAAGTTCGCGACTGACACACAATACATGTCTGTAAAATGCAAAGATGATAATCACAAACGCAGCAAATCTAATACACTGAAACTCTTATTTTGATCATTTTTAAGTTTTTATGCAATCATTTTCCCATATTTCATGTATTTAATTTTTTTTCAAAAATTTTTATTTAGAAGAAATAAGATATGGTACACAAAAATTAAATTTAATACACAGACAAAATAAAGGAAGTTTCCGATTTTATGAAACTAGAAAAGAATATGAAAATTCTTCAAATTTTTCATTAAAAGTTTTAAGCATTTTAAGTATGTACATTACAGTATCTCCAAATGATAGGTATATTAAATATATCTGCATATTTCACTCATATTACTCTGAGTTTTGCTAAAAATAGATAATATTCAGTATGAACATTAAAATCTGTTTATCTTTTTCAGATAAAAATCAGTTACTTGATTATTTTGAAATTATAAGGATTAAAAAAACGTTATCCTGCTTCAGTTTTGCTAGCACTGTTTCTTCAATAATCATTTACTAATGAAAAAACGTCATACTGCTGCACATTCATGGAAAACTTTCTGAATATTTTGAGTTTCAGAATAACGGTTAACAGAATCATTAGATATTATAACAGTTATAGTACAGAGCATAGTGCTTTGAACTGGAAAGGCATTTTTCTTTTTGTTCCAATGTTAACAGTGAGACCAATTAGTTTTGACAATGTTGTTAAATTTTTTAGTGGTTTGTTTGTGAGAAATAAAATTTAACTGCAGTTCCTGATAGAAAATGTAAAACAAGAAATTTCATGTATGCTGCTTTTCATTATTTCCCTCTGTTTTAAATTCAATTTTATACTTAGATTTGCTCAATTCACTACATAAAATATATTAACAATTTACACACCTTAATAATATATACTGATATGATGTAAAATTCACCATCACTTAATTAAAATGTTTGGGGTTTGCCAATACCTCGCAAATTACCATTTAATGAAAATAGATGTGATAAATGGGCAGTTAAAACACTTTCATGAAAACTTTCATAAATTAAACTATTCAATTCATGATCCACATGCACATTTTTCTTAATGAGTGGAAATTAAGCTTGCAAAATGATGGCACATTACATGCAAGGTTCATTCTTTAACATCATAATAGGGAAAACATTCAAGGTTTTAATTATGCATTGTTGAAATTTTTAAAAAAGTCTCAAAGACTTGGTTTAAAAACTGAACAAAGTAACACTAAACCTTACATTCTTTTAACGCAAACTTGGGTAATAAAGAGGAAAATTACTCTGTACATTAACCTGGTAGAATAAGTGCAGAAGTTAGTAAATCTGCATACATATCCTCTCTGTTTTAAAATGAAGCAAAAGAGTAAGACTAGTTGTTTGATGCTAAAAACTGCCAGCCAAACTGTATATCCAATATTCCTTTATAAGGTGAACGAAGTAAGAAGTGGGTATTTGGGAACTGTCCTTTGTATTTCCTTATAGCTGCTGTTTTAGCTGTAGCCTCATAGGTAAAAAGATATCAGCCAACTCTGCTTTTGCATAGCAATGCACACTAATTGAAACTCACATCGAGAACGACAATTTATGACAACAGAATGCTTTTACTAACTGTTCAACATTGCCCTGTACCTCCTCAATGTGCCATTCTCCTTAGTTTGACCCTTTCTAACTGCCTTTGCAGTTTACCATACATTTTTTAAAACATCAGGGGTTCTGATTTTACTTGTTTTACAATAATGAAAGTAAGCTCTCTGGATTAGTGAAAATGATGTACTGTGACCAGCATAGAAGCATTTCAGAGATGAAAGTTCTAACAAAACTATTCCATCTCGATGTTCTAAATGAAACTGGTGCATTTATGTTTCACAAGACCAGAAAAACTCACGCAGAACACAAGAATCAAGATAAACTACAAAATGTTACTTAAGAATAGGTAATTCAAGAACATTCCCATCCTGGCTTGCTTCATAGCCATGGTAACAATGGCTATAGAATATGGTCAAGTCCTTTAAGTTGCATAATTACACCAATTCTTTCTGTGCAGTGATAATGGTACATTTTATAATCACGAATGGCTTTAACAGTCAGCATTTTTCACCAGTATCTAAAATAAGGGAGCAAAATTTTAAATAGTCTGCATTTACTAATTTCCCCTACTACTGAATAACAGACTGAGTGAATAAACATAGTCATGTGTGTGTTAGGATCGCAAATTGTACATTGTGATCTTTCTTTAATTATTTCTGTAAACAATTTCAGTAATACAGCAAGAGAGACTGAACATAAGATTGCGCACGAAGGAAAATGAAAATGGTGTTTAGAGAAAAGGGAAAAAAAATTTTATTAATGCTTTTGTATTATATGTGATTATACATTTTTTAGAACACATTCCTAGAAGTGGATATCATACAATTTAAAAAAAAAAAACTCTAAATTCTTAGAAGTTAAAGAAAATTCTCTTTTACAGTCAATACAGAATTTAGCCACACGTATTTATTTATAAAGCAAATGCTTGAAATGAAAAAATGTAACGAAAACTATAATGTAAAACAATGCTATAATTCTCAAACATGTAATAAGATGTCATTAGATTTTATTTCACTATTCATTACATAGATGAATGTAAATTAATACAACAGGCAATTGTTCACATACCTGTTTATGAAATGCATTACAACTCTGGCAATTACAATATGCATTTTTCTCCCAGAAAAGAGTTGTAATCTTGATCTAACTGATCACAGACATCAAATAATTAGTACACAGAATTATGGCAGAGACTACTCAAAGGAATGTATGACAAAAATATTTAAAAAAAAATTTTTCACCCTTTTTGTAGATGGAATACGCAGTTTATCTTGTTGTACATCAAATCCCATTGTTTTGCAAAGTTCCTGTAAAAACTTCAAGTAAGACTGGTACTGTGTGTTTCCAGGAAAATGTCTTTCATACTTTCCATTAAAAGTGTAACAGCAGCATGGTAACAGGAAAACTCTCATATTGTAACTAGATCTAAGAATATAGAATTGAAAGCTTAACCACTAGGAAGAAATGGCGAAAATTTAATTTAAAAAAATGCAGTGCAGATAAATGAGACAATTTGAAAATGAGACATTATAGCTGATGAAAGAAAACTAAAAGTTTCTTCGTACGAACCTGCTGAAAAGGTCATACCTCTGAATAACCGTTCAAAGTTTAAAGTAGATTAAACTAAGTGTCATGTTAGAATGTTGCCAATGAATTTCTTAAACCAATTTTTTAAGGCAAAAGAAAAGCTTGATTTGTTCTTGAAACAAAACTGAAAAATGCTTAGTGAAATCAGCAGCAGATTCTCTAAAAATTAAAAACTTCATTGTTTCAAATCAAAATCCAAAACAATGCTCTTTTTTACAAGAGCTTACAAAAAACTGCACATTAAGAATTCAATTTCAATTAAGTATTAAGAATTCAAGAAGCCTAACTGAAAGTACTAATTAATACATTTTAACTGTCATCTACACAGGTCATATCAGTGTCAAAAACAGTGTAGCTGGTTTTCTTCATGATAAAGCCTGTTAAGACAAGCATTGTCATTCAAGAAATGTGGGCCAGAAAACTATATTTGCATTTTATCATACCCTGCTTATTTGCTAGTCTTTATTACGTTTTTGATTATTTCCAAAAATCAAAACAGAAACTAGGCAGGTTATTTTGATAGCTAATCCAATATCTGGAAAATGGCAATGATTATTTAAAACAGAATTCTTTTAGTTGCTTGCCAAAAACCTTTCTGTACTCTCCATTATCATGGGGGGGGATAAAAAGAAACAGTGTACAGTAAAGTTTCAGAGCACGTTACTTTGAATAAAGCAAAATTGGTAATTTATACACTAATTCATTATCTCTTCCGCAAATTAGTTTCATTTTCAGATTGCTCCACAACATTAATACTTAATAAAAGTAAATACGTCACCTGGCTGCTATAACAGGAATCCAAGGAGTCAGCTCATCTGAATGATTTCCTATGATCCAGTCATACTCAGGAAACAGCAGTTGGTCAGATGGTTCAACAGCTTTTTCCTTTAAAATATGATCAAAAGTATTTCAGTAATATAATAGAAACAGCTAATGTATGCTTTCACCCACTCTCAGAAAAAACAACATAAAATTATTTTGCACTTCATTCTATAACCAAATAACACATTTCATTACATAAAAATATAAGTGTAAATTCTGTGAAAATACATCATTAGCAGAATCCCTTACATACAGTCATCTCTATTTCAAATGGACTATGAAAGCTTTTGCATACATTGAGACTTAATTATATGATTATTGCCAGAATTTTTTTTTTGTATTGAGTATAGCTTCTTTTATTGCCAACACATTTCTCAGTCACATGGTTTAATTTATCAATTTTAGTTAAACTAAGGACTTGTGTTTGTACATTAGGAAATCACTTTGTCTTATGATAACAGTAACCACTATCTGAAATTTGATTATGACAAGCTTATGCGAGCTACAAGGAAGAATGTTTTCATGGGACTTCCTAAAGAAAATGCATATATCCATGCAACTGGTTTGAAAAATCACATCAGCCAGCTTATTCACTGGAATTCAAATGTGAAATGACCCATGTTTAACAATCTTATCCATAGGCCAGTAGTATCATGAACTAAAGAATTAAATACAAAATAATATAGAATATGTATAGCCACTCTAATACTTTATTACTTCGAGCTTTCTTGCAAAACTCAAAAATATATTGGAAAGCAATAATACCATTCTCTCATGGGATAAATTCAACATGGCAACATGGCAATTCAGAATAATTTTGCCCATTGCAAAGAGCAGACAACTCTGCTGAAAAAAGGCTTTCAAAACTGACCAACTTTTCAACTTGAACAGATTGTCCTAAACATACGTATTTACCTTCTCTTTCAGAACACCAAAACTGAATTAATCAAAAATTACTAACATCTCTCATATTTACAGATATTCATCATTAAAGTTTTATACAAATAAAATTTTACTCACAATTAAAACAGTTGATGACCCATATAAATCCCAGATTTTTCTTTTTCGAACATCAATACCTATTCCTTTGTACTGAAATACAACAAAACGTAATCACATTTTCAGAAAAATACACTAAAATACATCCTAGCAGAAAATTACTTAGATTAGATGAATGCAAGTTAAATGATTATTTCATTATCTTCTTTACTCTTAATTTTCTTATTTCGGTGTGTATTTTCTTATTTGTGTCTGTGTCACATACACACACACACACATATATATTGTGTATATTATATACTCCAGTGGTTACATGATAAAACTTTACTAAAATAGAATTCAGATGAAAATAACAGATTCAGATGAACAAATATTAATTTAGAAATCAAACAATTAAAAAAACAACAACATTTTTTCACTTTGGCAGCCGAGGTTGATGGTCCAGTAAAAACATTGAAACTAGTCCTCTGAAAATTTGCAAATATAATGCTGACTTTTGTTTGATTTCTAAATTAAATTCAATGAATAATATGACAATAACGTAACACACATGGATTTCACATAGCCACAGAAATGCATTCGATGTGGCAGATATGATGTAAGTATCACAGGGGCAAACGAGCAGAAAGTGTGTACATAATGCTATTAAAATGAGACTAAAGATAGTAAAGTTAAAATTCTGCTTCATTTCTGTGTTCACTTGAATGTTTTGGTTTGCAAATTTAATATTAAAATTAGCTAAAAGACTAAGTTTCACTTTTGATACAAAGTAAGTACATGCATTATTAGTACTACTAAAAACTATATGACAGGGATTAATTTTGATATGATGCATTTATAATGATTCGTAATAAGCATATTACTGTTTTTAGGATAGACAAGAGAATTAACCAAATTAAAAACTAAAATGTAGACCTATAAGGCTATCAGAAACTGAAGAATTAAATTGCAACATGCACACATACACATGCAAAACAGCAAAAGAAAAATATATCCAAAAAATTTACATCCATTAATATATACTTTAATTTCCCTATTAATAAATTAATTGATTGGACTTCTAACATTTCCAAAAAAAGTGATTAGTAACACAATAATTGATCAAATACAATGCATTAAAATATTTGTACAGACACATTAAATACGAGGGCAATCCCAAAAAAAAAAGGTCTCCTATTTTTTGGGGACGTAGAGAAAGTTTTAATACGGTTGTTGGCAACACTGTTGTGAGTGGTGCCTTCTCTGCTACCACATAAGCATGCAGGCGCTTCGCTCGGATGCTCAGTCTTGGCTTGGCAGCCATTCGAAATGGAGCTCCCGATAAACGTTACCACCAAGTGCGAAGTGCGTGCAGTTATTCGATTTTTGAACGCAAAAGGCGTTAAACCAGTTGAAATTCACCGCCTATTGACGGAAGTGTATGAACAGTCGTGCATGGATGTCAAAAACGTTCGCAAGTGGTGTAGAGAGTTTACAGCCGGTCATACTGAAATTCATGATGAAGAAAGGAGTGGGAGGCCATCAATTGCCGACGAGACAATCGCGAAAGTTGAGGAACTCATGCGTAAAGATCGGAGGATCACTCTGGATGCTCTCTGCATTTTGGTTCCTGAAGTTTCCATAAGCATCATCCACAGGATTTTAACGGAAAAGTTGCAATATCGGAAGGTGTGTGCAAAATGGGTGCCGCGTATGCTGACAGAAGACCACAAACGACAACAGGTTGATTCTTCCCGCGAATTTTGGACGGCGGTTTTGCTCCGATGATGAGGTGAAAGATGAGGTTCAACGCTTCCTGAAGGGCATGGCGGCAGGCTGGTATGACATGGGCATTGTAAAACAGCCACAGCGTCTACAAAAATGCATCGACCGAAATGGCGATTATGTTGAAAAATAAAGCATTCTTCAATCTTTAAAGTGATGTAGCAATTATAGAAAATAAACGGTTCTTTGTATATCTAAAAATATAGGAGACCTTTTTTTTGGGATTGCCCTCGTATTCAAAACGAAATTTTACTACTTACTTAAACTCTTAAAAATAATCATGTATCAAATTAATTAATTAACTTTTATCTTAAAAAAAGAAGGCATTAAATACCCAGTCTAATCTTTTTACTGGTAAGGTTATGATAACATTTTTCTAAACCTTCTAGACGAATTATGTTGGATGTTTATCGGTTTAAAGATTTATAAATTTTGTAATTATTACTGTAATTATTGTATATGATGTAAAATATCAGTTTCTTCTAGCTATCTTTGCTTTTACTAACAAGATGCACCAATTTTCATTTCTAAGATTTGTTTGCAGCCTGATACAAGTGAAGATAGTCTACTTTTCTTTGTACACTGCGCAAAAAAAAAAAAAAAAAAAAAAAAAAAGGGCGGCAGTTCTATCTCTCCCGTTCTACTGGGCCGATTGACGAAATTCAACTTGCGTTTTTCATGTCTCAAAAGTGTGAATTAGGATATGTATTAGATTTATGTATAGCATTGTTCTAATATAGGTATATTGAATAAAATCGGACTTCTGAAATTGCATGCCAATTGTTTTCCATATTTCGATTCTGCGATTCAAATTATGCCAAACTGCCAAGTTTTGTAAAAAATTGCATAAGTAGTTTTTAAAAAATTAACTCTCAAAATTTCAGCTCCTCAATGTTAATTGAATTTGTTATATTTACTAATATCTCTTTTTTATTAAACTTACCTGACTTCTTCCAGAATCGAAATTTACATTCATTCCAAATATAATTCACACATTTTTTATGATTTATTTTTTAAATTTGTATTTTAAAATGTTTTTTTATAAATTTTTGAAATTTTTTTTTTATTATAACCTATTACATTTTTAACATCATCTTAAAGTAGATGTATTTCTAATGCAAAAACAATTAAGAGTTTTTTTATTCAACATTTCTTCAGATATACCTAAATTTCCTAAGTGAATTTACATTTTGGCATGTTTTGAAATTTGGCATATTTAATTTAAGCGATAATAACGAAAATGTGGTTTACATACTTTGTTGAAATTATTTGAAAGAATGAACGATGGACCTTTTTTTCCTCTCGTGCATCAATGAAAAAAGGGAAAGGAAAATAGTTTGCTCTAAATTACGAAGTTCATCAAGTGAATTATTCTTGGGGCAAACTGAAAAAAACGCGCCAAGATAAATTTTTAAAATTCTCCGGAAATTTCTCATAAAAAATTACAAAATTTAATATCTAGGCATAATTTGAGTTGTAGAATCAAACATGGAAAAGAATTGACATGTTACTTCAGAAAAAGTATAATTTTGTGTCAAAATACCTATATTAGAAGAATGCTATATATAAATCTAATATATATCGTAAGTCGCGCTTTTGAAACATAAAAAACGCAATTTGAATTTCATCAATTAGCCCAGTAGAATGGGAGATATAGAACTGCTCCATTTTTTTTTTTCTACAGTGTACAGTTCAGACCATTAGCCAGAAATCAATTAATTTCGATCGTTTGATAAAGTTTTACAGCCAATTTGAACTAAAGCAGACAAATTCTCTCGCCAACTTTATGATAGCCGAACCAAAACTAATTTCTCCCCCTTCCTAAAACAGCATCTGACATGTCTACTAACACCCTTTTCTCGTAAATATTACAACACTAGTCTCATTAAATTCCAATGAACGTTGAATAACTGCCATTTTGCTTATTGCTTCAATTGAGCATACATATAAATTTACTTTAATTCATTTCTGGCCTTTTTAATGTATAATAATTATGCATATTTTAAAAGCCTCATACAAAGCAGTGAATGTGTAGGGTAACTTTTTTTTACAAAAGAATATTAAAATCCTTACTTAAATAATTAATAAGCTTTGTTCTTGGCTTGTATTTTGAATCAAACTCACCAACTTCTAAATAGTTACTTAAATCTCTCAAGATTTGTTCTTGACTAGTACTCTGAACCCATTTTGGCTCAGTATCTTCCTGGCTTGGTATTTTACACCTGGTTTTTGAATATTAATGCAACGAAACACATTCGCTTCTATTAATTATTGTTAATTGATTGGAAATTGGTTTGTTCCGCTTCAAAAGTAAATTAATTTCCATTTAATAGCAATTTATTCAATTTTTCTTAACATTTTTCATTTTATACCACTTTCATAAATTTACTTTTATTTATTTATTTTTTTTTTGGCTTGATTTTTTTTCTAGCAATAAAATTCACTTTATAAACTTACCTAATTTCCTTTTCTTCCAAGGAGATAATCCAAAAATTGTTCTAATAGATAAATTCTTGTTTTATGACTTAGCGGATTTAACACAAGTATTAGGCTCCATAAGTACCATAAAAATTCCATTATATATATATATATAATTTATCAAGCAAAACTTACAAGCTTACTACTCCTTTGAAAAAGTAGTAAGAATTCTATTGTACTGAATTTACTCATTAGCATATTTAAAATGCAGTTATCAAAAGAAATAACTGAAAGTGAAAATGCAACCAACAAAGTAAGTAATTATCGTCACTGATTGGAGATTAGTTGACTTTTCAAGGAGAATAAACTAACTTTTGATTAACTAACAATAATTACTAAATGTAAATTTTTTTCTCACGCAAGAATCATTATTAAAAAAGCTTTTTAGTAAGATTAAGTTATTCAAATTTTTAGTTAATAATGAGTAAGAAATTGGCTGTGTTGTCAAGTTTTAAATGTAAATTTCCAATTGGAATAAAAAATTGGCAGTGCTGTCAAGTTTTAAATGCAATCTTTTAATTGGAATATAAAATTCTTATATGAGTGAGTTTTATTTTCTAACTTGAGAAATTGCTCCATGACACTTTCACCTTTCATCATATTAACACAATGCAAACTTTGTAAAAATAATAAAACCAGAAAGAACAAGTGTACAAAAATAGATTCTCATAAGACTAAAATAAACATTATGAAAAAAGTAATTTACATAATATAAAGGCTAGAAAATGAATTTAATTAACTTACAAATACAGTACAAAGTTCAAAATCCAGACGTCCATTATCTGGAATGATCTAAAATACGGACCTCAAAACCACCAACAAAGTTTTTCTCATAGGCTTTACCCATGCGC